TTCCTCTCTGCTCTGCAAGCCCAAATATCCTACCAAAACACAATGATGTGCGCGAATTGCATCTCAGACGTCTCATCATAGTAAAGCTTGCATTTCCAGTAAGATTTGAGGTCAGGGCTCAAAAACCAAGAGAATGACAGTTCACCAACATACATCCTATTCCATACTGGTAGTGCACCTTCCTTTTATTTATTTTTGCGTTGAAAAATCTTTAACAAACAGTAAGTCCCAGCAGTAAGCAGTGTTATTTTGAACTGCTGTTGACTGTGTGCCAATACCATTACCATCCCATTTCATTTCACTTTAAACACTTTTTCTCGTTAATTAGCACATACTCTATTCTCAAGCAAAAGACAGAAGGAAAGGTGTTTAGTAATATATTAATTTCCATTGATTTCTAATTACCGTTCCATCTTCCATCAGTTTCAGACAAGAACCAAAATCTGCTAATCGAATATGCCCATTCATATCCATCAAGATGTTGTCTGGTTTAATATCCCTGCAAACAAAGCAGATTTCAGAATCAGTACAAAAACATAATGCATAAAACACAGCCCATGCATCAGTCCTTCTGATTCAGCAATGGCAAAAGATCAGCAAAAGTATCACTCATACGGTCAATTTTGCACCAGAAACATTTGCATGTTTGGGCTAGAAAACGCGAGGGGCTCTGTACTGCCCGGTAAATTCAGCAAGAGCCGCGTGGTCAAATTCCTCTCGCTGCGGCAGGTAGATAAGAGAACACTCCCAGCTCTGAGCTGCAAGTACCCGAGACGTTTAAGTCATGTAAAGAATGCGGCGGTGCGCTCTCCGCCGAGCGCTGCACGCTTGTGCTGAGGATGGAAAACAACTCCAGAACAAAGGCCACAGAACGCTTGAAATAATTACTGTGTTTTTACATTTAGTGTCTTTCACCTGCATTTGTTTCTTTCTCTCATATACACAGGCATTTGAGATGCACTTCTGTCAAAACTTGTCCGAAATGACCACAAAACCATCGGTAGCCTTCTACTGCAATATTTTCACATATATTTATTTACAGGCACATATATTTATCTACTGAACTTTAAAAAAGTTCACGTTCTAAGTTTCCGTTTTCTTTTACAAAACTAAATCCTGATTCCGTCGCAAACCTAGAAAGCTCATTTACAGAAGTGGAAGCGCTGCTACACACTCCCTTTCTTCCCTGGCTGTTCAAGGCAACATTTTCCACTCGCCACTAAAACTGATCGTGGCACTTAACCATTCCTGTTCAAATGTGCGTGGAAGAGAAGTTGCAGTCCTAGTTACTAGGACTGCTACTAGCCCTGCGCTGCCCCAGGCAGACAAAGCTAAAAACAAAACAAAATAAACAAAAAAATGGAAATAAAATAAAATGTACTGCTAATTCAAATGAAATCCAGAAGCTGATTTGCTATCTACTGTATCTTGGGATGTGCATAAATTAGCACTCAAATGTAAAGAGGTGTGACAGGGTAAACGCACGAAGTATCACAAGAGCCCAAGAAATGCAGGTAGCCTCGTGTGGTCCATGTGGCAAAAAAAAAAATTAGCAGACATCTTGGGAAAATACAGTCACAAAATAAAAAACAAATGCTGCTTCAGAAATGGCGCTTATTTTTTACATACAAGGGCCTAACAAAAAGGATCCCTCACAAAATAGAATGTAAGAATTGACTGAGCGCATTCCCCAAATCGCATTCTTCAGCTCCATTTTTGCTGACACTGACTATGCCAAAGCATTTTGACCGCCAGATTGAGATAGTTTTATTTATTTTACATTGACTGACCAAAACATTCCTTAAGCATGTTCCTAAATAAAAATAAACATGTGCTATTGAGATCTCTGGAAATCTAATTTCAGCAAAAAACACTCTGCAAAAACATGCACCCCAAATAAAGTTCCATTTAGAAGCTGGATCTGGTTCAAGGTAAACAAAACCACAAGGCACCTTTGAGGCTCCATGTATCCAAGCTCTATCTCTTAATACATTCATGGGGCAGGGGAACCAACTCAACCCTCTCCACACTCCATCTTGCAAAATAGCAGAAAAGAGGGAAAAATCTCACCCTGTCAGGATTATGCAAAAGCAAAACTGCAATCAGCACTGAACATGTGCCGAAAAACAAGAGTTTCCTGCAAAGGCAGCTCTCGAAGGCTCAGAGGCGACTTTTCATAAGCAACTTGCACAACTAAGGGGACATCTCAGTCCCCTTAGAAGGGAGACCAAAGAAAGGCCTACGAGTGCCTTTTTGCTCCTGTAGCAGAAGGTCCAGCTCACAGACAACTGTTCCGAATTCAGCTGAACTGCACTGAGAAAAGAGCCTGGGAGACAAGAACTGCTGGCACCTGTGGAGCGGCCTGTGAGCAACGGGGAAGTTAAGGAAACTGTGAAAGCCAGAGGGGAAGGAAGAAGGGCAGCAATCACTGCCAGTGTAACTACAGAGCCAGGAGAAGATGGTCATGGGGAAGAACAATGTGCCAGAAGTCCTGTATCTCTGCCAAGCCGGCAGCGTTTGGATTCCATTAGAATTATGAGCTTTATTGCAGGTTTATATTCTTAAGGCACTTGGTAGCCCTCAGGCAAGGGAACCGATTCCTCCAGAGCCTAGTCTTCCTCTCCACATCCCCTCCATGTTCCCTGGCTGGTCCTAGTTTCACCGCACGCACTGGGTTTCCCCCGGATGAGGCATGCTGGTTGCTGCTGGCAGCCCCTGGCAACTCTCCATCTGAGGCGGCCAGTGCTCCACAGCCCACCCCACCACACCACCTCCCTGCTGGCCTCATCCTTTCCCTGCAGCTTCTTTGCTTTGTCAGCCCTACTGCGAATGTCTTAAAATGCTAAGCATGTTTAGTTTTAAAATCCATGCCTGCAGGCCAACTGTTTTTGACTCCACGTCTCAGGTTCATTATCTCTCAGAGACAGCATGGGTGCTCAGTCAAGCACTCGCATCATGCGGCTGGAGAATGCAGACTACTAATACTGTAATAACCTTGTAATTGGTTCACTATAGTTTAAGAAAAAAGAATAGTTATCTTAGGATGTGAGTCTACTTTTTTTTTTCCCATTAATAAATGCCATGTCAGCCTGAAAGGTTCAGAAGTTGAAAGTAGGAAAGTAGAGAAATACCTTAATAAACACATGTATCTATTTAAACTGAGACTTCATCCCAAAGAAAAATCACGGCATGCCTTCTGCTCTTTGGAACTGCACTGGCTTTGACTATCTCGCATAGGAGGTAACCAGTGCTGTAGAACTGCCAGGACAAAGTGGTGCTTTGGGCATTTTGCAGATTTTTGAATTTTTTAGAAATTTCATTGCTTCTCTTCACCCAGGGAATGCTGTAGGAATAGTTTGAGAGATATATGCAACTTCACTCGCACATAACAATATGGAAGCTTAAGAAAAAGACTGAAAAAAATCTTTTACAAATGATTTTTTCAATTGTTTAATTTGAGGGGCTGTTCAAACTTCAGATTGGTTAATCTGGATGATCTCTCTTTAAATCAAGTTTACTTTCTTAACCCACAATTAAAACTCAAGCATTTTACACACAAAACTGTATTAATATACCTAATGCTCTGGCGTCAGGCTGCAGCAGCCATTTGGATTATTGCCATTCATTTTGATTTCCCTGTTAATAAGCCAATGCAGAATCCCATTTGCGCAGCGAGCCTCAAGAGAAAACTATTCCCTCTGAGACACGCTAACTCCACAGCACATTCCCACTGCAAAATAAACTAAAAAGAATTAATACATGTTATATATCCTTTCCTGCATTAATTTCCGATACTCAGAGAGGAATCCTGAGGTCTTTCAAATTAAAGTATGGTCTAAAAGACCTCTGAAATTCCCTCCAACATGAATTAACTGACAACTACAGAGCTTCGAAGTGTACGAGTCGTGAGGTTTACCTACGTCCTTCTCTGAATGTTAGAATCAGTGTTATTCAGTATTTACAAGACAACACGCAGACAGGCCCCAGGGCTGCAGCAGAGGAAGCAGCGCATTAAAACCAGAAGAATCTTAATTAATTTAGTTTCATGAGCAGCATTGCGCAGGTGGGAGAATAAATACATAGAAAGAAATATGCATCAACACTAAATATAGTGACATTTAGTGGAAGAAGCATGACAGAATAATGAAAAAGCAGCAGTGTCAGGCAAAGATTACACTAATGGACCAGTTCACAGGCATTTCCATGATAAAAATCTTTGCAAGAATTAGAAATCAGACAGGAATCTTTCCTTCTTGGTAAGAATGATACAGCAATGATACAGAATGTTCCCTTTTTGTGACTCATTTCTAATGCATTTTCTTTTTTTTTTTTTTTTCCAAACAGAAACAATCAAGCAGAAATGGAGCAAGAGGTGAGTCCCTTTTTGTAGTTAATTTAAGTAAAAGTGGGGCTGCGTTGTGCAAGGGGCAGGCAACAGCCTCAAAGGACTAAACATTCAGGATGTGATGGGCTGTCCCCATATACCCAGGTAACCTCTTTAAAAAAAAAGGAGTAGAATTGAAACAAGGAAGGGGCTTTGGAGCTTCTAAATTCAACAGCTGCAATGGGAATTCAGACTTGTCTGACATCGAAGTAAAATTTAAATAAAACTACCAACTCATTTTAGTTCACTGGATAAGCCAGGAATAATTTGTAGAACATTTTTTATTTCTCTCTAATGCTAATGTTAGGAAAACAAACACAGAATGAATCCATACCCATTAATTCTCTTGAACAGAAGCAGCCCCCCACCCAGATATGCTACCCTTCAGGCCAAAGAAGAAAACAAAAAGTAAAGAACAAAAGCAATGAGTTGTGTTACATCATTTTCCTGTGAAGTCTTCACATCAGGAATCCCTTGTTAATACTGTCAGTGCAAACAAAAATAAGGGCAGATGAGAAAAACGAACTGGTTTCAGGTGAACTGTTGGCATAGAGCGACTGGTCCAGACAATTTATCACTAATTGAGGATATCACAGCACATTACCTAAGTGTTACACATACAAGAGCAGTCCCAAAAAGGATAAATCAAAAAGTTAAAAGCAGACATCAAAAGTTATAATTATCCACTCTTACAAGAAGAATGTTATCTTCTGCCAAGTTACTTACTCTAAAAAGCATATCCTAGCCCTGCCTGCCAGGCTGCCTGCACAGTTTATCCAAAACTCCTTCAAAGCACCGGGTTATTCTCAGTCAGGGCAGAAGTCTGGCAAACTGCTAAATTCACTCCTTTCTGTTGTTGCAGACACACTTTTCTTCCACACTCCTCCTCTTCTTGTCCAGTAGAGCTTCCAGCTTTTCATGTCCATGAAAAAATAATGAAAGCACCTGGTTTTGGCAGCATTTCAGCCCAACAAGACAATCTGGTGACTGACATTTTTATTAAGGTGGTCAGCAGTGCCATCCTGGCGGCCCCCTTAGGAGAGACCCAGCGCCCAGGCTGGCAAGTACCCAGCGGGAAGGCTCCGCATGGATCCTTTATTTCCCAGGCCAGCCTA